AATATCTAGTAAGGTAACAATATAAAACTTTAAGCTCATACTTTGTGTAAGTAAAGAAAACAGTATTTAAATAATATGTGAAACACATTTTGTAGGTATCCCAACATCAACCTATTGAGAATGGTCAAGAAGAAAATTCACAAGGAGGTTCCTTTAAAGACTGTCTTGCAAGGCTCTTCAACTGGCTAGTGGGGATCAGCCACTGTGACCACCTTCAATTAAGGCAATAAACGTATGTGCGCTCGAGCGCACTGGTGTGCGAGTTGGGTTGCAAAACTAAGGCAAATACAGAAAAATGTGTCCTTCTGTGCAGGCTTGCATTCTCACCAGCAAGAATCTAGAAACTACACAGCTTGATTGTTGTCTCTTATCTTATTTTCAACCTTTCAAATATGTTTTATTTTCATACAATGTGAATTTAGCATCTAACTTAATAAATCTACTAATGACTCAATAAAGATTATTTTCTAAGAACTGTAATTCTGAACACTTCCAGAGAAATCGTTTTTTAAATTTTCTCCTTTTTTTAAAAGAGAACTGGTGAATGGCAGGTTTAACCAGTTAGTAATTTTTTATCAAATTTTTGTGTCCCAAATTGATGACAGTTTTGTTTTAAATAACATTCTTGTATACTTTCAATAGTTATAGCATAACTAGTAAATTGGAGATTCTCACATAGAATTTAACCCATTAAAAATGAACATGTTCCGGGCCAGTCAAATAGCTCAGTGGATTAAAATGCCTCCAAAGCTCGCCCCACCCCTGGGGTGCATCGAGAAGGCAATTGAAACTGGGCTTGGTGGTGCAAGCCTGTAATCCCAGCTCATAGGAGGCTGTAAACAGGTGGATCACTACGAGTCCGATCTAGTAGTGAGATACTGAACACGCTATAGACCCTTCCCTAAAAAATACCAAAAAAAAAAAAAAAAAAAAAAAAAAAGAACATGTTCTGGCCATTAGACTCTTCTAAATTTAAAAATCCAAAAACACATGTAAGAACCAAAATGCTTGTTTTCCTCTAGTACCCCTGCACTCAAGGACTAGACGCAGTAGTTTGCTCACTGGTTTGCTGTGGATTTGAATGAACTTTTCTTTATGTAACATACTTTAATCTTCCTTGGCCTGGGATACAGCTCTGTCATCTCCACCGTGAGCCTCAGAGTGTGCAGTGGAGCGAGGCACCAGGTGTGGATCGGTTCTCCGACTGCTCCCGTGCATGTGACGTTAGGTTGCCTGCTGCTTGTTTGTGCTGTGGCCTGCGAGTAGACATTAGTGTTGCTTGTTAAGAATTCATACACATTAACTGGGGGCCAAACAGTGGATCTGAAAGTATGAAATGCAGTTCTGGCTTTGTTATATTACTGACAAAGTAGTGTGAAAGTAAGAAACATAATATAGGTGCATAGGGATTATCACGTCTGCATAAATTAGTTCAAATTATGCATTCCATACCTTGTATGATACTCATAGTGTTATAAATGATAGCATAATTATCTTCTTATTTTTTAATTGTCTCACTCCTTCACTAGATGACTTTAGGGAAAATCTAAGGGTGTTAGAAGAAAAGCAATAAAAGCCCCTTTTGAGAGAAGTAATCCATCTCTCTATTCTCACAGTACATTCTTCTGCTCTTACACAGAGAAGCTGATAAGCAAAAGGTCTCTGTCCTCTCCACGTAACCATGTGCCTGAGCCTCTTAGTAAATTTCTCCTTAACTGTTGCTTCCCTTACACTGCTTCTTTCCATCTGTCTCTCTGCTCACTGCAAACACCCTCAGGAGACTAGTCCCAGATGGAGCCCTTCTGATTCTCAGTGGAGAAGCCGTTATCTCCTCAGGTTGAAACATAGTGTGGTAAGAAAGGAAAGGATATGTTTAAAAAAAAAAGAGTAGAGCACAGGAATTTCTTCCAGGACCTTGGGCTCTAAAAGTATAGTTTGTCTAGAGGCAGATCATTAATCTTACACTTTAATTGCTGATGCCTTGTCACAAGAAAAGGGGAATATCTTTTGGAATTTATGGGCACTGAAAAGCTAGTGGCTATTGAAGTGTAATTTTAAATGACAAGACCAAATTCTGGCATTTTTTAGCACAGACTCACGTATGTTCTGTGTGTCATTGCCAAGGTGTCTACAACAGGATACTACAGACTGGTTAATTTACAATGAACAGAAATGAGGGCTGACCAAAGAGCTCAGTGGATTAAAATGCCTATTTAGGAAGACGCAGGGGCCAGGGGTTCGATCCCCAGCCTGATGTGCTGGTCCTGCCCCTGGGGTGAACTGAGACAGCGATTGAGATTGAGCATGGTGGTGCATGCCTGTAATCCCAGTGCTTGGAAGGCTGAACCCAGGCAGATCACTAGAAGTCTGATCTGTGTAGTGAGACCCTGTAGACCCTGTACTAAAATAAAATAAATAAAATAAAATAAAATAAAATAAAATAATATAATATAATATAATATAATATAATATAATATAATATAATATAATATAATATAATAGAACAGAAATGCTTCTGAAGTCAGGAAGCCAAGATCTTGTGAGGACTTTCTCTTTCTTTGTTTTAAAGAAGGGTCTACAGGGTGTTCAGGGTCTCACTACTAGATCGGACTCATAGTGATCCACCTATTCAGAAATGAATAGAAGGAAGGAGAGAGGAAGGGAGAAGGAAGCCTCTGCAAGGGAGACAAGGGATCTGAACTAGACCTTTTATCATGGATCTGCTTGCATTATCGTGGCAGTAACCACTTATGAGGGCTCAACGCTCTTGGCTCATGCTCACACTGGGGTCCTTTTCCCACAGTGGGATTGAGGGTAAATTGCAGCATATGTTTTTGAGTACACTTTCAAATAACGTCATACGGTTATTCCTTTGGGGACAGCCCTTTCTTGTGCTTGCTGTCATTGTTTATGATTAGCATACCTCTGACCCTCCTATGTGCCCAGGTTAAGCAAATCACAGGGTCCTGCCACAGTTTCTGCACCTTCAGTATTACTCTGTCTAGTTTGCTCTAAGGCACTTGGACTTTTCTCTCCTGCTAGCAAGCTTGACATTGTCACTGGCTTGTTTCTGCTGATTTATTTCTGAGTTTTGTTGGTATCTTTTGAAATTCAGTACTGCCTTTTTCCTCTTCATGTAAGATTACCTTGAGAAAATTGAGAGGGCCCGTGAGCCCTTCATTATTTGGGTTAACAGCAGGGACACTGAGGCCTACACCAGTGGACATTTGGAACAGCATCTAGTTTCTTCTTCTTCTTCTTCTTCTTCTTCTTCTTCTTCTTCTTCTTCTTCTTCTTCTTCTTCTTCTTCTTCTTCTTCTTCTCCTTCT